TCCTCCCCAGTCCTAGGTCTTCCACCCCAGTCCTAGGTCTTCCGCCCCAGGTCTTCCACCCCAGTCCTAGGTCTTCCACCCCAGTCCTAGGTCTTCCACCCCAGTCCTAGGTCTTCTGCCCCAGGTCTTCCACCCCAGTCCCAGGTCTTCCACCCCAGTCCTAGGTCTTCCACCCCAGTCCTAGGTCTTCTGCCCCAGGTCTTCCGCCCCAGTCCTAGGTCTTCCACCCCAGTCCTAGGTCTTCTGCCCCAGTCCTATGTCTTCTGCTGGTGCTTGTCTCCAGGATGGTCCTGGATTTAACTCCAGCCTATCTGTCCCACAGCCTGATGCTGCCTCCACCGTGCTCGCTGTGGAGATGAAGCGATCATGGACGTTAGTTCAGTTTTGGTTTCTTCTCAGCAGATAGCCTTTCTAGCCTTTACTATCTTCAGATGATGGACTGGTTTTTAGAACCAGAACTTCCTCCCTGACCTTCCAGTTGGGTTCTCTGATCCAGACCTTCCTGGGTTCTGGTTCAGGTTCTGGCCCCCTCTGAAGGGAGATTTATTTAAGAGCTTACAGTGGATTATTTTGAGCAGAGGATGGATCCAGGGTTGAGTCTGTGAGGCGCTGCAGGCTTCAGTTCCTCCTGATTTAAAGCTTCCTCCATGTGTGCCGCTGACCTCCGTCCTGCAGCTTCCTCCCTTCCTTTCATCTGACCCGCTGACCTTCAGCTCAAAGCGCCGCGCAAACAGGCCTTTGAAGCACAGGGTGGAGCAGACTGATGGAGGGGGGTGCTGCTCCCACCTTTTCATCAGAGGATGAGGAGGTGAAGCCGATGACCCGCAGAGGAGCATGTCCCTCAGCAAACGTTTCATCTGAGAGGAAAGAGCGAGGTGTCCGGAGGAAGGGATGAATGCCAGCTCCTCCTTGGACGTTAGGGGAACATTCCGGCTCACACCAACCTTTCCTCTCCCTGTAGGAGATCCCTCTGTCTGAGATCCTGCAGGTGGAGGCGGCGCAGGACTTCAGCAACCTCCCTCAGGGCAGCAACCCGCACTGCTTCGAGGTCATCACTGCCACCATGGTCTACTACGTCGGGGAGGATATCGGCGGCCCGCACCACAACCCGGTCCTGGCTGCCTCTGGCGTGGGCCGCGTCGTAGGTCAGAGCTGGGAGAAGGCCGTCAGGCAGGCGCTGATGCCCGTCACACCCAAGGCCAGCGTCGGGGCGGGACCGAGCAAGGACCACAGTGAGTTCATCAGAACCAGACACACATGGTTAAACAGGGTCTGACAAAGAATGAAACCGGGTCAGCTGGGAAGAAACGGATAAGTACCGGTACTTTCTAGAACTGGAACAGCTTCACATGTAGAGCAAGAAACTTTAATGATTAAGTTCAGGAAACATCCAAACATCCGATATTTGAGCTGTTGATTTAAAGGGGTCATAGAACAGCAACAGTTTCCATTGTTATAGATAACGATAGTTCAGTGGGTAAAAATGGACGTACAGAGAAGTTCAAACCCATCAACGCCTCCTTTATCTGCAAATCTCACTATTCTAAACTTCCACCATAAAATGGGAGAATCCAAATGAAGCCCTGAGGTGACGTAAACTCTGGGATGTTGCCTTATTTGAACCAAAATTGACAAAAATTTATGAAATTGACATTCAGACCAGCCGATTGGTTCACGGCCCAGGAACATGAATAGAGGCAGATGACAGTCTCCAAAGACTCGACAGGTATGGATTATTTTTGTCCATCAGAAGATCTGTGCAAAGTTTGATGCTCAGCTGTTTATTTGTTAAAGTTAACCCATTACATAGATTACAGGCATGTCTTGAAGACATAAAAACCTGGATGACTCTTAACTTTCTGCTTCTGAATGCAGACAAAACAGAAGTTATAGTCTTTGAAAAATAAGCTGGTTAGTCAGTTGCTTCATCTTCA